TCCCGTAGAACAGCTACAGAAAAATAAACTCCAATATTGTATAGCTGCTAAGGAATAATGTGACATTTTACCTTCAACTGAGAGTTGCTGACTCATCCATTAACCATAATTTAACTGGAGCATAAATTATTTGCGGTTGCAGGCACTAAAATCCATTGCTTTTCTTTGCCTTTAAGAGTCTAGTGCTGGAGTTCTAACTTGTTTTGACATGTTGCATCAAAATGCTGCTGAAGAAAAAGGCCGGGTCTGAATCTGGTCAGCTGCCATGTGTTCTGGTTCACTGTGCACGCTCACAGATAGACAGATAAGTGACTGGATGAGTGAGCGATAAACATATCTGCACAGTGGCTTGAACCTATTACTACACTGCCTGCTGTGTGTCCGACAACCTGTGTGCAGCTTATTAGCAGAATGGTTGATTTGATGACATTTACTGACACAAACACAACCATAAGACTACAATCAGTTAAATGTCCTCACTACAGTTTATCTTGGATATTATATTTTCAAACTACATTTTTAAGTCATAGAGGAAGGAAGAATTACGAAACCATACATGACAAGGCACTGCCATCTTGTTTGACTGTTTAAATGAGACGTCTGACACTTGCCTCTTTCGTCTCAAACTGTAATGCCAGAACTGTTCTTAGCTTCCAACAATGGCTCCTCCCTAAAACACATTAATTATTTTCTCTATGTGGCTCTTAAATATTAATCTCACCAGCTGTTTTCCCATCAGTCAGTGTTTCTTCGTTCTTCACAGAGGTCTGTTTAGGTTCAAGTCTCAGCAGGAACCTGCTCATTTCACTTAAACACGCCTTCATAATCTCTCAATTTCAACCCAGATCCAAATTGAACATGATTAAATGAGACAAAATGTCTTTTTGATTTTTCTTGTTTATTCTGAGAAGAGGCGTTGTTTTCTGGTCTTAATCAAAGAGAATAATATTCTTGAAATGTCCTCTAGTTTTACATTTAAACTTGAACTCAGTACTCATGTCCAACTTAACAAAAACACAACAAATCAGTTGGTTAAACATTGAAACTAATTACTTTAGTYATAACCATTGCATGTTTTATAAAAGCTGAGTAGCAAATTTGTAACTGTATCAAAATATAAAAGAAATTGTGTTTTAATTTACCTTATATCATGTTAATTGTGCTGGAGTTTTGACCAAAATGGAGCAATTTAATAATAAAATGTAGACTAAACTCAAGTAAAACTACTGGCTGCTTTAAACATAACTAAAACTGCAAACTCATTCAACTAAATGTTATCTTATTGAAAGAGGAACTGGTCGTTATGAGGTACTGGTTACGTAAACAATGGTTCTGAGTGTGTGTGTGTGTGTTTTTTCACCATTTCCCTATAAATTCAGCACATAGAGTTTGTAAATTATTCTCACCTTGTGTCCAAGTATGGCTCTGCCCGAGTTTTAAACAAAGATCTAATTTACGCTGTAATAATAATAATAATAATCACATGCAATATCTGGAGATGTCAGATGCGTTGAAAAGGATTTTAGCTACAATCACACCAAAGTTTAGCACTGTATCTGTTCATTTTAATAAAAAAGAGCCCTTTTGGGGTTTTCTATGGTTAGGTGGCTTGAGTGGCCATTCTGAATTGGGTTGGCTCCAAACAATCAGCTGTAGAGGCACATCGAATGACCATTTCCTCAAAGTTTAATTACAATTTTCCAGTAGATAATTAGATATTTTGCTAATGGTATAGACAAACATGCACACAGACATTAAGCAAAAACACAAACTGCCTCTCAGACAACTTCTAAATCTGAGTAGACCAGTGAATTAGATGTCCATAAATTAAAATTTCATGACTGATTTCTTCACCAACCTTGTGAACTAATCACATATTAAATAATCTGAGAAATAAAAAGCCTTGGATTAATCACTTCTCTGATAGTGACTGGTGGTTTCATACAGTGAGACAAAACTTTCCATAACCTTTGATTTATTATGGAAGTTATTATTCCTCCCAAAGCAAMAACAAAGAGAACAAGGCTCAGCTGTTGACTTATTCACAAATATATGGTTATTAAATTTGTATTGCTTTAAAACATTAGTATGTGACRTTTATTAGATTTATAACACAGAAGAAAACAGAGACAACAAGAGATGAAGGGCGGACATAAACCAGGGCYGCTGCTGTTTAAAGCTGGTGTCTTAACCAATCAATCTCTGTGAGCTCGTTTATTTTTTATTCACAAGTCAGATTTAGCTGCTCTTCAACGRGTGATGTGTTGTATGCCTGAAGCCGTCTCTACCTACAGAGCACGCAAAAGTGTGCCCTCTGGTTTTTAGATAAAGCACTGTCAATCATTTACAACTGGTTTAACTTCASTGAGATCCAACAGGAAAAATAAAATCCTTAATGGATTCATGAGCAAGCTGATATTAAAAGTCCTAGTTCTAATTTTCAAARCAGAACTTACAGTTAAAAGTTCAGAAATAACTAAAAACATATGTTGTGTTTGAGCAGGTATGTTCAAGCTTTAGTTTAAAATGAGATTAAATCAGAGAATAGGTGTGTGTGCTAGGCTATCTGTGTGTGTTTATCCCTGAAGAGAGGAAAGGATGATGCTACTCATGTTGGTATAAATAGCTTATGCTTTGTGCATGCGCACGCGCACACACACACACACACACACACACACACACACACACACACACACACCCATGCAGAGTCCCTGCATGCCGCATAGCAGGGTAATCCTGATGTTGTCTCAGCCTGTTTAACCAGTTCTCCAAAGAAACTAGACACACAACAGATGCTCCACTGCAGGGATTTAAATTTACATTTTAGACGTATGGATTAAAAATATAACCTGTTTGTTCTCCTTGAGGGAAAAGTTGGACTAGATTCTGGACATGAACATAAACGAACAAAAAGTATGTCCTGACACTGATCCTACAAGGCTCTGTACTTTTTTATTTTACAGTTATTTGAAAATATWTGTCCTCATTTGATAAAGATGGTGGAGAAATGTTAGCAAAACACACTCACTAGTTTGATCTAAGACAGCAAACAAACAAACAAAAAATAATGAGATTCACATAGTTTTGTACTCATCAAACCTTCACAGATGGGGCATTTCCTTCCTAGAAGCCACCCCACACAGAGCATGATACAGCTTTGGGTTGTCACCTCAATGAATTTCTATCCTKTCTTCTAGGTCATCAAAAATAAAAATAAAAWAAATTCTGTTTGCTAAGGAGCTAAACTGYCTGGCTGTTTTATGAGAGTTTAAGTCAAGAAATGCTGGTATAAAAATAAATWAACAGTTCTCAMGATCCCTTCGTTTTTAAGGAGGAGCAAGATAAGACTTTTCTAATAAAATAAAAGAAATATTTGCTTTTAAACAAGGAATGTTCGCAGAATCAGGATCAAATCAGAATGACTCAACTTAAGCATCATTTGAGAAGTGTTGTTTCCATTGGGTCGGGTCTTAGTGGATTACTTAAAATCCCTACCATGATTGTTAAAGCATGACGTAATTAGGAAAAAAACACCAAAATCAAAACTTTGAACACATTCTGAAAGGCTCGTGGAATGCCAAAAGTCCAGTCGGTCCTGACAGGTTGAGTTTTTCTTGTAAGTCATAAAGTCAAGTTCACCAAAACATGACTAAAGTTTGACTCGTTAAYACGTGACTGGAACTGTTGGAGACCAGCGAGGCGCAGAGGCGCATTTTGAGAAGCCAGGTTTGACGATTATTTTTTTTCCCGGTGCATGGCTTAGAAAATTGTTGCACATTACTTTATTCAAATCAAAACTAATTTTAATAGCACATTAAAACAAACTCTGTTGGACAAAAAGTAAATAGTAAAAAGGTAAAAACAAACRAGAGACCATTAAAAACAAACATTTTTTAAAATGCCCCGTTTTCACCCACATCCTACCCCCATGTTTATGTTTTTACTAAGTACAATTAAAACTCAAGATGGGCAGATTTGGAAGAGCTTTACTAGAATGCTTGACTGACATAGTCTCCTCTCCAGTTCTCAAAATAAAGTTCTAGTTCTCTTAGCACTGGTCTGAGAGGCCGAGCCTCTGAGACTCACATAAGGCAATCGAGAACCAAAACATTTCTTTCTACACATTGGAGGGAGACTGATCTCCACCCATCACAGCCCAGTGGGATATGACCTTTAACGGCGCCTATTAGACAAAACTTTGCTCATCTTTTTAATGCCCAATCACCCATCAGTTCATATGAAACTCAAGTATCTTCAACATGAGCCTAGAAGAAGAGGAGGATCTGTGGATGACRTCACCAACTATTGATGTCAACAAATCAATAATACATTTGTTGGTAAGACACTAGCTGCGTTTCCATTGCAAATGTGCGCAAAACTTGTTAATATTCTGTTAATGTCGAAAAAACAGTTTCGCAACTGCAGTGTTTCCACTAAGTAAGAAATGCTATTAAAGTCACACTTGAATACGTTTGTTCTTGCGATAAGTCATTACAAACATGGAGGCGATGGATGTAAACACATAGCATGTTGCTACCACGACACTAGTGCTCATCATCAGAGGAGACGTCGGAGTCTTTTATCGAGGTTTTCCAGAGACAAGTCCCTACTTGGGAGCGGCTACGTATGCTGTGTTTTTGGGAAATTGTAGTCGGTGAGTTTACTACTTTATTTTACTACTTCTGTGATATTACTACTACTTCTACTTCCTGTTATCTTCTTCTTCATCGTCTTTTTCACCAGTAGAAACAGCCGGTTGTGATCACGTGACTCCCATGATGCGAAAAAAACTGTTTCCATTGCAGTTTTGCGAAAAACACCAATTTCGATACGGCCGAAAAACCACCTCATCCTAGCGCAAAAACATTTTGTCGAAAAACGTAATTTGTTTCGAAATTGACATCTTTCCAATGAGCAAATTTATTTTTGAAATTCTAATTTGCGCATTTTCATGGTCAATGGAAACGCAGTTCTCAGAAATATTGCTGGCTTCTTCTTACCTTTCCGGTCTTGTGGTCGAACCATACAAGGGCGTGATTCCTGGACAGCACCTTGCAGTCAAAGGTGGCATTGTTCTGGGCTGGCCTGCACCGAGCCACCGACCTGCCGATTTTGACGGGCTCRTCCAGGTACACATGCCGCTCCTGGAATGGATGCGAGTTGGGTCGGCAGGTGAACACGGCCAGCGCCGAAGGCATTGATTTTGGCTTGAGGGTGTTACTCCAACCAGACACAAGAGACAGGTTTTCTTGATCCAGGTTGGCAGGGTTTTGGTGCATCCCGCAACGAATGAATAATCTACAATATCTACGGCCTTGTGTGTGCAGGCAGGCAGGCAGATCTCTTAAGTTGTGTAATCTTCTAGGCACTAACTGATAAGCATTGTCCACTGTACACACTCCCGACTACACAGCTTCCCCCACTTTGAATGAACAAGACTCTCCTGTGTTCGAGAAAAAAAAAAAACACAAACTAACAGGTATAAAAAAGACGAGACATTCCTTTTCACCCACTCCTCTCTAGAGCTACATTACGACGCTCACATCCAACAGCAAACACTATGTACAGACCAAGGTGCCATGTGTCAAGACATACATGACTGAGTATAGCCCTGACAGTGTGGCAAACAGCCCCTCACGTCCATCAAACTACTCAAGCAAGTGAAACCAGTGGTGTTGCCAGACTTGATCTGGTTTAGTCCTTTTTGAGCAGCTGGAGCAGAAGCCAAGAAATTAAAGCAAGAATCAGTCAACCTGTTTTAATGTCTGGGCTTTTAATCAGGGCGTTATGGAGCTGTGATGTCTCGACCTGCAGCAGGCAGGATAACAAGACCACACCAATATGCAACAACGATTTAGCTGAGCGTCGTCTGCAGCCTGTATGTCARTCTGAACATGATAATCGGGGTGACCTTGTTGCCCTGATACAGGGAACCCGACGTGACCACCCGCTTAAAAAAAACACCTAGAGATCGCTAACGACACCTAGAAAGACTGAAAAGCCAGAAACACCCCCTGAGTTACGAAACGCTGCTGGTCAGGTTGGCCAACTAAAGCAATTCAGTGTCCACTTTGTCTGGATTAGTGCTTCAAATACACCGAGCCGGGTTGAAATGGGGATTAGCAGGTTGTCTTGTACCACTAAGATGCTAATTGAAGCGCTAAGTCTCGGCCAACGCTTCCTGGCGTTGGACCAAACAAGCTAATGAGGCTAGGCTAATGAGTGCTGACAAAGTTATCATTCAGGTCCCCAAATGTTTTCTCCTCGCCCTTCTCAACCAGTTCGCTTACCGAAGGGAAGCAGTGTGCCATACTTGTCTCCAGTGGGAAAGAAAACCGCAAACTAAAGTGTATTTGGCTACAGCAGAGCCCCCGGAGGCGAACGATAGCATGAAGGTGAGCTAACTAGCAGCTAGCCGGCTAACTGACAGTCAGAGCGGAGGGAGACGCGGAAAAAAATCTGTTGAGTTTCTGGACTGCGGCTCTCCTCGCATCACACCAACACGATTATCTTCCTGGGGGGTGAACTCCGGAGGTCCTCGGTGGCGCTGTCGTCGTCTATCACAGTCCAAGACGTGTTCGGCGAGGTGGGTTTGTGTTATAGCCGCCGCCTTCCAGCAATTTGCTGGAAAGAAGCTAGAAGAAGTTGTCCTCCTCCGCAAGTCCCGGCCGCCATACTGAAACTGGAGAGCAGACGGGCGTGATGCGTTCACGGTCAGAGTCACATCAACTGGAGAGCAGACGGGCGTGATGCGTTCACGGTCAGAGTCACATCAACTGGAGAGCAGACGGGCGTGGTGCGTTCACGACCCGACTCACATCCACTGGACTCGTGACAGGGATAATTGCATCCAGTGTGACAGAAAGACAAACAATCAGAGGAAGGGAGCTGTAACTTTTACATTTTGCAACTTTTCTATACTTTTTGGTCTTYTGCTACATTTAGCTTTAGCTATTTTAGCTTTTAACTAGCCTTCTGCTACTTTCAGCTTTTGGTCAGCCTTTTGAGACCTTTTCTACCCTTTTGATACTTTGTTACCCATTTATTTAAAAAAGCTGTTTGCTACTTAGGTTTATCTAGTCCTTTGYTACTTTTACCGTTTTAGTCAGCATCTTGACACTTTAAGCTTTTGAAACTTTTAGCATCCAGCTAATCTTTTAATACTTTTAGTTTACCCTTTGCTAGAATTAGTTTATAGCTAGTTTTTTGTTACTTTTAAGTTTTAGATAACTTTTGCCATTTTAAACCTTTTTGTAAGCATTTTGATACTAAGCTTTTGTGACGTTTAGCTTCTTGATAATTTATTTAGTTTTTATTTAGTTTCCCCTTTGTTGTTAGCTTTTAGCTACTTTTTGGTTACTTTAAGGTTTTAGCTAGCTTTATGCTACTTTTGACTATCATTTTGCATTATGTTATATTATATTATATTATTATTTTGTAGTTTTTGGTCAGCTTACTTTCAGTTACCCATTTACTGAAATTAGTTTATGGAAAGCTTTTTGTTACTTCTATTATTCTGCTACATTTAGCTATTCTCCACAACTTTAATCAGACTTTTTACACTTTAACTGAGCTTTTGACACTTAGCTTCTAGCTAATCTTTTGACACTTATAGTTTCCCCTTWGCTTAAATTAGCTTAAAGCTAACTTCCTGTTACTTTTAGGTTTTCGCTTGCCTTCTGCTACTTTTGACTTTTTGTCAACTTGATGAGAATTTTAGCTTCTTAATTAATAAATATATGTACATAGACTGTTCATGTTTTGTTATTACAATTAACATAAAATTAAAAGTCAAGTTAAAAGGCTACACCACTACCCTGCTGCACAGTGTTTTCACAAAATTGCAATTACTGTTAGTGGAGCTTTAACCAGGTGACTTGTTAATGAGGAGTGGAGCAGCTTAAAGGGATGAAGTGATGTAAGAGGAGATCAAATTCTGCTTATGGCTCCAGAAACGTTCTGCTGTCTTCAGATGAACCAACAGCTGAGACTAAATCAATTCTGGACGAGACAATAGAAGCACTGCAAGCTGTGCTCTTGCTCATTTAGCCTAATTCAGGATTTATGACAAATAAAAGTGTATTCACAGAAGAAGTGTGCCGTGTCATGTGGGTGTTTGCAGGTTTGAGATTGATGCAAGGTCATTATCAGCSTGCCAAATACCAGAGTGAAGGATGAAAGAAGGACTGAGCGAGTGTCAAAACTATAATCCAGACCTTTTAGCTGTGCCACCCTCCGAGGTTTTGCACGGTTTCACGTGCAGGTCTTAGTCATGGTACAGACCCTGGTCCTGGTCTCTGCAGGCATCCTGAGCTCTCTTGCAGAGCGAGCAGTAGACCAGCTGTCACTTAAGATTTAACAGCAAGATTAAGTATTTAGACCATTGTTTTTATATTTTTATACTTTGAGTTATGAACCTTTTTTATTATCATTATTATTATTATTATAAAAATCCTGGTTTTCCATCAGGATCATAAGAGGTGTGTGTTTTATTTCAAATTTAGAGCCCAGGTGGTTTCATCCATCTGTTTACTCGGGGAAGGGACTATTAAAGGATTTAAATAAAGCTGATTTGCTGCTTCGGTCTTGACTCGGATTGAAATCCAGACTATAATTGAAGAAAAGTTTCATTCACTTATGGGACTTAAGTTAGCTTTGAGGATTTGGAGTGGAACAATGGAGACCCGGCMGAACAGACAGAAAAAATGTTCAGGTTTTTCGCTACAGATTAAAATAAAACATCAAAAATACAAGTGACTGGTAAATTAGACTGACTGTTGAGTCACTGTAAATCAGTCGTTGTGTCGACTCAGTCATTGTGTCCTTGGGCAAGACACCTTACCCACCTTGCCCACTGATGGTGGTCAGAGGGTCCGGTGGCGCCTGTGTATGGCAGCCTCGCCTCTGTCAGTGCACCCCAGGGCAGCTGTGGCTACAATGTAGTTTGCCATCATCAGTGTGTGAATGTGTGTGCATGGGTGAATGTCGCTTTGAGTGTCCTGGGTGGATAGAAAGGCGCTATATAAGTACAGTCCATTTACYATTTACCATTTATAAATACAGATTACATGAAATACTGTATTAATACAACTTTAATGCTTTTCCGTGGTTTTTAATTAACTTTTAAAAAATATTTTAGAATGTCATTTTTTACTGTATTCTACAATATCACAATAAAAATAGCCACAAATATTACGAAAACGTGAAATTCAGTAAAAAGAAAAGAAAAGAAACACAGAATGACAGGGAATTGCAACAAAAATAAATTTAGAATTGAAATAAAGTGAATTGCCTGCTGTTTTTATTTTACTATTTAGATTTAGTTACAGAAAATAAGATTTAGTTTTAGACAATGAAATGACAATGTTTATTTGTTTTAGCTAAGTGTAATAAATTTAAACAATGTGTTTCATTAAAACAAAATAAGATCAGAGCTAATAAAATGGTACAAAAATCTTACCAAAAACAGAAGAAAGTAATAGGGGGGAAAACTTGGATTTTTTTTAAAAGTAAAAAAGCAGGAAAGCGCGATCACGTTKATACGTGATGACGTTGAACGTTTTTTCAATTACGTCACTACGCTTCCTCTCAGTTGCTAACCGCTAACTATGTAGCTGTTTTCAATTCTGCGGGTTTTCTCCGTTTTCGTTCCCCAAAGACACGATTGTCGGACATAAACTAACTCAGGAGGCCGGTAACACTCTTCTGAGCGTCCGTGCGTTCGTGTCGGGCCGCAGCCATGGCTCTCCAAGGCCCGGAGGAGGTGGGGGAGCAGGTGGAAGAGCCGGAGGATCTGGACGATCAGGACGCTAGTAGCATCTCCCCGGCCGAGGAGATCACGCTTCCCCCCGGGGCCGGCGGCGACGAGGAGCCGGTGGAGGCTTTCTTGCTCCCGTGGGACCGCTTCTCCGCCTGGCTGCACTGCATCTGTGTGGTCGGCTTCGACTTGGAGCTGGGGCAGGCGGTGGAGGTAAAGCGGAGGACAGCTGGGTCACATTTACTGAGGCTACATAAAGTTATCATAGAAGCTGTAGGCTCAGACTGGACAGTAGTACAGGCTTTCCTATTTGTTGTGATTGTTAATGGTTACATCTCACATAAAACAAGAATTTATATACATGCAAGACAAGACAAAACACTTGTAAAGTTGTTGAATTATTATGAAAACACCAGTTTTAAAGAMGTCAGCCTCAGCATCACTGTTTTCATCACTTGATAAAATATTTGATGTAGTTCATTTTGCTCAAGCATTTGAAAACGTTTTTATTTCACTTTCTTTAGTAAAGTAAGCAAAAGAAACCTCTCAAAACCTGGTGGTGTTTAAAATAAATAAATAAAAATACTTGAGTCATAAATACTATTA